GAAAAGAAAAGAAAAGAAAAGAAAAGAAAAGAAAAGAAAAGAAAAGAGGCTTTGTAATTATCTTTTTTTTTTTGTATTCTCACCATCTGAAGACTCCATATATTTTTTTCTGCTTTGCTGTACTGTCATCTCTTTTTCTAGCCTTCTCTGAAACAATCTGTCTTCCCATTTCTCTGTTTAATGCTCTATTGGTATATTTTATCATTGCAAAATATTTTGAGACGTATTTGCATGAAAGACACTGTCCTGAGGAAGGGCCAGCTCACACTGTGCTGTTTGCACAAAAAGCCAGAAGGAGGAAGAGCAATAAAAGAGCAACTTAATTACTTTGGAGCTGCAGCACTTCCCACTACCATGGCCTCTGCATGAGGTGCTGACACAGCCACCAGAGTTGACTGAGAGGCCTGATCTTGCTGACAACTCCTCTGGTGCAGCTTTACCCAATGCCACTGAGCAGCTCACAGCAAAAGAACATGCCACAAAGAGCAGCAGGACATCAGTGATGTGACCCAATCTAAAACACTTAAAGAAATACCAGTGACCTCCAAGAAGCACAAAAGCCTTTCCTCCCTGTTCTCCTTTGCTGAACAAATCATACCCTCTTCTAGCAGTGCTGTTCACCTCCCCTTGAGAGCTGCTTTATTCAGGAAAAGAGTGAAAAATCAGAGCACAGCTGCAAAAATGAATTCCCACTCATTGCCTAAGTACTGGTATTTTTTATAGCTGTACAAGATAGGATGATATGACCTAATCTACATTATGTAGGTTGAGATTGTGAGACTTACTGGATAGATCTGGATCTGACTTCTGAGTTTCTTCTAGAGTCAAGGATTACTAGTGACTATGGCTGATGATGTGGGATAAGCACGGTCGTTAGTAGGAAGCACTTAGGAATTTCCTCATTCCTCAGAGGATTAGGCTTTGAACCAAAATCCAGTAAAGTGATAAAAGTCCAAGGGATCACAATTCATTTTCTTTAGAAAATACTGATTTTTGTTGCCAGTGCTAGCAACAGCATGCCTGGCTTAGCAGTCACTTCAGCTCTGCTGCATCTACCTTTCCTTGTCTTCCTCCTGCTTGACCTTGAGGAAACTCTTGCTGTATGTCCCAGTTTGCAATTCCACTGCTAGAACAACTGAGCTATAACAGAAGCATTTCTCTTGGCTTCTTTCTTTTTTCAAGATCGAACCATTTTGCTTCACCACTTTCGCTGCTCCTGTCTCCTTAGAGTTTTGTACCTGGGCCCCTATCTGCAAAATCAGTGTTGAGAACTTTAATGCACCATCTGTCTCTGTTTATATCCAGCGACATCCCAGACACAGGGCTTGTACCAAAGAGTCCTCTAGTCTGAGTACACAAATAAGAAAAGATATAGCAAATTCTTGGTATTTTTTAAAATGGTTTCAGCAGGATTCTTCACAACTAATCTAATCACCAGTAGTGTAGTAGGTGTCTACAATTTTTCTTTCCCTACAGTTTCAACAGACTGTGTGTCTTATTTCCACAAAAGCTCATGCAATCAGCAAGTTCACTGTCAAATGTGCCCTTTTCTGCAGTGACTGCAAGTTGAAGTGAGCCAGTGGTCTGCTTCTAAGTTAGGGATATCATAGCACTGACTGATAGGCTATTCTTCTTGTGTTCATATACCATGCACACGACTTTCCACCCTGAAAAGCCATACCTAAATAAAAAAACACCCCCAAATCCACAAAAACATTTACTTCCTTTTTCAGAGGTGAAATACGGAAAGGGCATTTTTGCCACTTGAAAGCCACCCTCATCTCTTTTTTATGCCACTGCACTCACCGGTTTTATCAAGGAGATATATGGTTCAGTCTTGGGAATGACTTTCCCTTTAAGTTTTATACTTATTCATATGTCTTATTCTTCCAAAAGTGACTGTACCGTGACATTCCAAGTTACTCTTCTACCGAAACTGTGTAGACTGTATCAAAGAAAGCACAATTCACAGAAGTCCTCCGCAGCACATTAAGAACTGCACAGCTCCCTAAGAGCAATTTAAAATGAAGAACAACCTTTCCCAGCATCCTTTCAGAACTTCACATGGACATTAGCTAGATACAAGACTGAGCTGCAGAGGGTGCATTAAACTCCCCATCTGCTCTTCACAGTGCTCATCACTGATTTCTAACCCACAGTAGAGTCATTTGGCCAAAAAAATCATAGTGGATGAGACAAGTATAACAGAAGCCAGCTGAGCCTTTCCTTCCACAGTGTCCTGTTAAGACCCGCCCCGGAAAAAGGGGAGGGGGGTAACCCAGGTTCTTATCAATAATTCCCTTGGGGTGGATTAGAGTGAAACGACACTGAATAATCGGTGTCTGAAAACATATATAGGTAGGGTTTATTTAACAATTTTGCTTTAACATGTATGTTAGCATTTTGGGTGTTGTCATCTATATATTATCTATCATAGGGATAACCCCTGGGGGGAAAATGCATAAGGGAGAGAAAGGAAAGACAGGATACGGCTAAGGGAGAGTAAGGGAAAGAAAAGCTGAGAGTGGACAGATGTATATAGTCACTGCCCACAGGGTCCAGCGATGAAACTTGGTAGTTGCAGCTTCCACGTCTGTCAGTTGAAGTGGTGGCCTTGATCCACTGAGGGTGAAGGAGGGAAGCCCCCACATTCCAAGAAGTCACTGGAGGGAGGGATGGGCCCAGCTGCCCATCAGAGGTATAATGCAAAAGTCAAAAGCCTGCAAAAGTCTCCTGGAATGCATAAATCATTAACCGTTTCAGTCTCTGACATGTCCACAGAAGGAAATGTGCCTGATCCAGCCAGGATTTTCTCACTATTAGATTCCAGAGCATGTGATATCTGTAGGTAAGTCATGCTCCAAATAAACTAGGGAAGCCAGATTTTATTGTCATTTACACTACCTTATAGTCACTATCTCAGCTGGTCTTGGCACAACTATTAATTCACTGCCATGTACATGATGTCAGAGTATCCCTGAGAGACCTTGAAACCTTGGAAGAGCTTTAGAAAGACATCTGCAAGTTTCCACTTCCCAGGGAGCCACTTTTCTAACCCACTCCCTCGCTGTGCCCAGCTCCCGGTTGTGCTGCCACTATCTGACCCTATGCAGACGGTTTGCCCCGAAGTAGCACGCGTTTCCCACGGGTCGCTCTGCCCTGTGGGATATGGACTTCACATGGTCTCTTTGGAAAAGGATCAGCCTCGGGGATGTATGCTGTGGGACAGCTGTGGGACAGCCGTGAGACGGTAAGAGCCAGGTGTTGGGGCGGGTTTGTACGATGGCCTGTGACTTCCACCCTCCAACGCCAGTGAGGCGAGGGGGGGTTCGTCTCCCACGTGAGCGCAGCGCCTCTCCCAGGCTCGCACACAGAGGGCGCGCTGGGCGGGCGGGACGACCCCCAGTCCCCAGCCCTCACCCCTGCCACAGCACAGACCGCCCGTGCGGGGCGATGCGGCAGCGGCTGCTCTACTCCTCTGCCGACCCGCAGCAGTGAGAGGCACCGGACGGGGGGCAGCGGGGCCGGGCAGGGACCGGGCCGGGAACGGTGCTGCCTCCGCGGCCTCGCGGGACAGACGGCGGCGGGAGCCGGGGCCGGAACCGGAGCCCGATTCGGGCAGGAGGAGCCGCAGTGGGAGCCGGGCGTGGTGAGCGGAGAGCGGTGAGCGGAGCTGCCCCGGCCCCAGCAGGGCGGCTGCGGGCAGGAAGGTGCCGCGCTGCCGGTTGCGCCTGAGCCGGAGCATCCCGGCGGGGTCAGCCGCCTTCATCTTCCAAGGGAGGTGGGCACTCCGGGTTTGGGGTGGTTTTTTTCCCCCTGCCCTAGTACCCCGTGCGCGTTGTTCGTGCCCTCGGCCGGCAGGGCTGTCCGGCGGCCGGGCGCTGTTGCTCGCACGTCCCGCAGCGCCGGGGCTGCTCCTCCCGCCGTCCGGCACTGGCTGAGACGGGTCCCGGCGGGTTTGGGAAGCCACCGTGAGCTCAGGAGCAGCGCCCGCCGTGCCTCGCCGGTGCTGCTGCTCCGAGAGAGCCTTTTCAGCGGTTTGCCTGTCCTGTGCCGTAACCAAGGGCATTTGATTTTCACAAGCGTTTAACTGAGGTACGTGTTAGGCCTGTGTTTTGTAAAGAACCTGTTTTTAGCCTAACTGACTTCGTGGTTTGTCAAAGTGCTTGAATTGAATGAACGCTTCTTCGGTTCGGAGAAATTGCTTTTGTTGGAGGCAGAAAGGGCAACGTTCTGGGAGAGCGTGGGGACAGCATCGGGATTGTGCTGGTTCTGGAAGGAGGGGTGCGGAGAGAAGGGAGGCACAGGCTGGTTTCCATTGCTGAAAGATGCTGCAGACCAGGGGTGTGATAGTGCAGAGCATTGGGTCATCACTGTGCAAGCACATTCTTGGCTCTGTGGGCATTGATTGCCCATCATAGATTGCCATGCGTGTGCTCTTTCACATTGTTTGCGGGGAGATGACGGGAAAAGAATTGCTCCCTCTGCAAATAAATTGTAACATGCCTATCCAACGTACTGGGAGAAGAGCTGAGCTTAGGCAGCACAGCAGTAGAAAAAAGAAAACAGGATGGGTGCACAAACACTTTATATCTAGCTAAAAGCTGCAGGCTGTTACAACGTCATTTTGGTAGAGGTAATAAAGTTTGGAACAGAACAAACTCTTCCTACCCTTGCAAATTCTAAACAATTAGAGGAAAATTGTGAAAATAGTGGTAAAGGGCTGAGCATTTGCCGTGTTGATTAACATGTAAGCAAAGACAGTTAGGAATGCATGTTGACTATTATTAAATTTAATTCTTAGTTAATTATAGTAGAATGGGAGAAAGGTGGAGATATATAAAATCTGGACCCTACAGGATGTATATCATGCTGGCAGTTTTATTCTGATAAGGGATCCAGATGGAGGATCGATGTCTATTTCCTTGTGATTTTGCTTTCTACAGTCATTTTGAACCCACTGTGTTCAGGCACTTTTCTGTGCCTGAACAGACCAAAACGAAAGGCAACCTGAAACCACCAGCTGCTTTCTTTCCATAATGTCTAGAAGGGCTTTTTCTCTTTAGAGATTGTTGCTGGTTGTAGCTGTATACTGGCTGCCTTCCTTCCCCACCTCTTCCTCAGACTTGGTCATTCATGTCACCTGAGGTGGGGGAAGGAAAGGCAGGCATCTCACCCCTGCCTCCCTCATGTTTCCCCAGCTTTCCTCTGCTCTGGTGAACAGGCTTGCCTGCCTACTGACTGCTGCTTGCTATATCTAGTAAGTGTGCTTTGCTTTCAAGAGGATAAATGCTGTAGGACCATGAACTGGTGGGGAAGGGGTCCTGGGCTATTTCAGCATCAAAGTCTAATCTAGTACTTATCGCCATGTAGATGACTGTATGTATATGAAGTTATTGCCATTTGCATTTTGTTAACCTATTCAGATGTAAAAGGCTGAGCTGGGATAGCTCATGTCTGGCAAGTGTCTTTGTTCATAGTTGGGTCTTAGTGGTGCAGTGGAAATTATAAGCTTATTCTGTAAATTCCTCATCAGAGCCAGGAAGCAATGCAGTTTTTCCTCCTGGCACCCTATCTATGCAGAAGAAGAAGAGGAATTATCTTAACAACAGAGTGTATTCAGAAGTTGCTGAAAAATGTGATGTTTTTGATAGGTTTGAGACTTGGAATTTTAAAAGTCCATTACTAAAAAGTCAATATATTTTCACCTCTACCTCCTGCACTCTTTTGCAAGTGCTCCTCCCCCTGTGTCTTCATGACTCCGGTTACCTCCTTTTCCTGGCTTGCGCAGAGGAAATCCTGTTATGACATAGTCGATCCATGGCGTTGCTGCAAAACCCACCTCTTAGCCTGCCACTTCATCTGCATCTCCCTTCTTTGTCAGTCCTTCTGCTGCTCCCCCTTCTCCCCTGCATTGGACATGTCAGTTGCAGGCTTCACTTTCAGGTGTCCCCATACATGATGTACCACCTCTCCAGCTTTACCCAGACATACCCCCTGAGCTTTGATCAGCCTGTGCTCTCAGCATCTTTCTCCCTCAAGCCATCATCTTTGTGTTTCCCCAAGCTCCACCTTGCACTTACTTGTAGTTTCATGTAGGCACCTTGTCCATCATTTCTTTAATTTCCTTGAAAGGTCCCAGCACATTCGTTTTTGCTTTGATGCCTTCAGCATCTGGTGAGATGCTTAAGACCAGCCTTTACCGCTGCTGCCACCATCCCTGTCACTGGAATTACTCTGGCTCTGGGTTTGAGCACAACAATGTCCTCTAAAGCTAGGACATCTGAGAGACACTTCTTGAACAGATCACTCCATCTAGCACCAGCAGAAAGTCTCCTTTCATAGTCCATGTTATCCTTTCTTGCTCTTTTTGGGCATTTCAGGTGCAACCCTGCCCCCTTATGCTTACATAGCTCAGCGTGGTTCAATGTGCAATAGTGTTGTATCTTTGCCTAAGTTATTGCAGACTGTTTTGCAAACAGTGACTGTATGTAAATATTAGGCACACAAACACAGATAGGATAATGCCGTGGTCTCTTTGTCAAGGGAGTGTGTGCATGCAGCCTGCATTGGTAAAATAATGAATGTCACAAGGATAGAGATCTTTGTTATATCAGTGAGGGGAAACAGAATCAAAGGAGAAGGTTGTTTTCTTACTTTTCTTGGTAAAGTACACTGAGCCACTGGAGTCTGGAAGCAGAGTTACAGTGATAGTTACTGTGATAGCACATTTGTGGCTAAAATTCCCTTGCATTTAAGTTCACAGTATGTAATTGGTACTATAATCTGCCTTTTTTGGAGAGAAAAAAAATCTGAAGCAAAATGATGCATTAAGAGAGATTCCTTTTGAACCAAGTGTACAAAATTCTGTCCTAGCTTTATATATTGTGTCAGGATTTCTAAGTTAAAATGAAATCTGCTTGACATTTTTGCGTTTGATACGTACTATGTCCTTTGTTTTTATAAAATACTTTGAAGCCAGTATGTCAGCTGAATTTTACAATAGGAAAGTGTTTTTTTATTAATCAGGACTCCACTTACTGGGTCACAGCTTCATTAGTTAAGGACTAATAATCTCATTGACTAGCAAAGGTAAAGGCCACTTATTGTTCAGCAGAGCCCCTTGCTGAAGTCTGCGCAGAGGTCTCTCAGGAAGGGAGTGGATGTGCCCACATGGAGTGAGAGATGCAGGCTCTCAGGTACACTCGTGTGTGCAGCCACCTCATCTGGCATTGGGCAGGTTGCTGTGCTGCAGCACTGAAAGAGACAATAGAGATCTCAAATCCATTCAATTCCAGATTTTTCCACATTTTGTCCTATAACTGTATTCCTTGTACATTAAGGGGACTATGCCAATATTTCTGAGGGTTTTTTCCCCCCTTTACCTGGAGGAATGCTGAACCTGAGGGTCTGAGCCCTGCAAGTTGTTAGCCTCACATGATGGAAAATGAAAGCAAGCTCTGATAACAAGGACTGCTTGCCCTGGGGCTTGATGTTTTATCTGGTAGGTTTTGCTCTGACAAAACAATGTGGAGGAGCTGAAGCACTGCCCCATGAGAAGTCTGTGTGGCTTCAGGAAGGGCAAACACAGTGCACAGCCCTCCACTGCACTGGCCATTTGGCCCCAGTTGTGGAGCCCAGCGCCAGTCTGTATGTGTCAAATTTAAAAGGTGGTTATCAGCAGCCCATGTTAAGAGTCAGGCATGAGGTATCAAAGTTTAATTACTTTTTGTTTGTTCTGATATTAATTACATCACCACTCCTCTCCCCTATCCCCCTCCATCCCTCCACCCCCAGGCTGGATGGTACCTTCTCCTGAAATGCTTATCAGTGTCAGTGGGATGCTCCACACAGCCACTTGTGGCCTTGACAAGGAGGGGTAGCAGGAATGGGATGACTCAACCATAAAAGGAGACAACAAGGCAGGAACAGTTGAAATATTTTCATATACTTGTTCCGCTGAGGAAAATGGATTTTAATGGAATTTTCATTTCTCATTAAGCAGCCATTCCACACTACACTAAATCTTCTATTCAAACAAAACTTCCAAATCTGGGGTTGCAAGAAATCAAACAAGAAGTCATTACACAAAATGCAGAAATTAAGGATTCCTGATACCCACTGGTTTCTCCCTCTTCCTTGTTTAGCCTTGCTCTGGACCTCCTTTCCAGCTGGGCACCTGGGGTCTTTTACTTTGACAGTAACAACTAAGCAGCTGTGTTTGTCTGTAGAAGTCAATTACCAAGATTTAAAGCTATTAGGGGCAACCAAATGGCTCTGTGAACCTTCATGTCCCCGCTATCTGATCACTCACTGTCATTAAACTTCAGAAACTCAAAGGTTTTTGAGGTTTCTGCTTGGGTTGAATTTGGCTGAGAGTGTCAATAACAAAAGTTATTCAGAGTGGCAATGAAGGGAATAAAGCTGGAACTGGACACCAGGAAATCTGGCCCATCGGTGTCGTCAGTGAAGAGTAGACCGTTTAGTTTTGGGTGTTTTTTTTCAGCAACCTGTAATTTTTCACCAGAAATTTTCAGCACAAGAAGGAGACTAGTTTCCCTGGCGACTGTATGTTCTTTGGGGTGAGATTCAAATTGACGCTCCCATGGGAGGCAGGACCAGAAGGACCCCATTTCCCTGTCTGAGGTCCCAGATGTACAGCAGTGAGACTCCTTACCCTATTCACATCCTGAGAGATACAGGAAAAAGATAGGTCTCTGCTTCTCACATATCTTGATGTCAATGAGAACGAATACACTGTTTGGGCCAAATCCTTCTGTGGTCTAGTGCTGCAGCTGAGACAGTGAAAATAGCAAGAAGGATGAAGGACTGTGGGATACAACTGTGTATGCCCAGGGGTCTTTTGAAGATAAGCTTCTTGATGTTCTGGTCCAAATATTTCTCTGTTTTTCGAAGGTAATCAAACTGTTTCAGATATTTATTCTTCAAAGGTAATCAAAAGCTCAGACCTCCCCATCTCACTGTGTACACTTGCCATTTGAATAAGATGCCTGCATTTAAAGAGCCTTGAGGATGCCTTGTGTTTTGCACTACATCTCTGGCTTGTTTAATCAGCTCAAGACCTGATGGGCTCCGTTTCCTTTACCTCACCAGCTATTGGGGTGAATGAAGGACTAAATGGGCAAAAGCAGTGCTCTGCGTATCTGGGAGTAGAGAGACAAGAGAAAGCTGGAAAAGAAGCAAAATCATTTATACTTGGTTGAAGATACAGTCCCTGTTGCAGAGATTCACACCTCTTTCCCCCAAGAGAATTGTTCTGAAAGAAGTAAAGGGAAGGGAAAGGGTGCTATGAGCAGACAAAACTGAGGGACACAGTATAGAGCTCTTTGTTACATGAGACATATTTGCTGCAGAAAAGGTATATGGGGGCTCTCCATCCTAGTACCACCACCTGCTTCAGCCTACCTGCTTCTGGGCAAGGTGGCATGGTGCATGCCCTGGGTCCATCCCCGGGGAAGCTGACATTGGTGTTCATCTGCAGCCTCCTGCCTCTCCTTCTGCATAGCGAGATGGTCAGGAAGCTGTCGAACTTCTTTGGGTAGAACATTACTATAGTCAAGTTATCAAAACATTTGGATTTCAACAATACTGACTTTTAACAGCTGGATTAGATAATTTTCTTTATTGAACTTGGAGAGGTTTAAACCATAAGTGATTCAGTGATTGAAGGGATGAAAGCAACACAACAATGCATTAACATCCATCCCCAGAGATCTGCTTCTCTAAAGCAGTTGAACCAAATGTGCTGAAAAGGTAGAGCTCTGAGAGGTACAATGATTGTGAAAGTGTCTTTTCTCTCCCAGAGGGGAGGATCGTTTTAAAGGTAGCCCTACTTTTGCTTTAATCTGCAAAATTCTGGGATTGTTTCTTCATATACAAGATATTTAATTTACTTTATTGAAAACAGTTCAGGGGCTACATTTTAGTTCTAGATATTGAATGCATGTAGTACACACAATTCTTCTAATTATCCCTGTGCATATACAGTATTCCGTTTGGGGATTTCAGGTATATGAACTTAAACTGCAGATAGTCTGAAATAAAGAGAATAAGTAAATAATAGTGTGTAATCTGAAAGAGCTGATTCTTGGCAGAAATTTTTAGAGGATAATGTGAAATGAATTGGAGTGCAGATACAGTACTTCTTTGCTTAGAAAGGTGCCAGGGGACATATGTCTGTCTTGGTCCTGGAGCACATTGCAAAAGAAGAGGAGAAAGGTGTTATCAAAGAATGGCTGTAAAGAGAGTTCAAGATCATGGTTTTTATATTGCACATGCAGTGCTGTAACTGGACAGCAGAAGGATGTCGCTAGCAAGAATAAAACACAAGCCAAGATTCCAGTTGGTTTGGGTTTTTTCTGAAATTTCTGGCACTAAGAGCAGTCAAAATTGAGCATTTTCCTCCTTGTTTTTTATTACTATTGTAATTATTACTAAACTTTGATTACCAAAGCTTTTATTTGCCTTTTTTTAGGTGCTTTTCTCATCATGCAGACCCTTTAGATTTGGACGTGATAACCAACCTGCGCATTGGACATTTGGCTTATATCCTCATATCTTCTTCCTCCTTGTAAGTATTTTATTCTTTCTCCTTGCTCATTTTTCTGTTACTTTTAATGACCAGATTCAACTGACAGGTTCTGGGTCTGATCTGAGATCATGGTGTCTTTGCTTTACACTAATATAAATTACTCTATAGTCTGCAGATCCATGGGAAATGTAAATTATTGAATCATTTGAGCCTATCTGAATTAATCTAAGTATCCTTATGGCTCTGAAAGTTTCCTTTTCACATCCCCACACGAAACCCCAAACAATATATAACTTGATTTTAACCCGCAGCCAAGCCATCTGGGCACTTGTCCTCTTAGATTTTCAAAGACATAAATTTAAATCATATTAAATCATAATAAAAAATGAAATTAGATCATAAATTAAAAGGAAAACTTTGCTTGTGGCAGGAAATAGTTTTTTTCTTTTCCTGCTGTGCTCTATTTTATTGAGTCAGTTGCCCACTGATCCTGTTTGCCAGGCAGAGTGGTAAAGGGATTTTCTGCTCCTGAAGGGTCAAACTGTAATAGGAAAAAGAACCATCCTAATTACTTCAGGTCTTTTAATTGCCTAAGGCATTTATGCAAGAATAAGAAGTATTAAGGATCATATTCTTGGTAAACTCCAAGTGAGCACTCATTCTTTGCCTTTCCTACTTACATTTTCAATGGAATAAGATGTTGTTTACTTCTTTTTTCTGTCTAGAGCTACCATCTTATTTAGTTGCATGATTTTAAATTGCTATATTTTTCCAATCTAGAGCAAATTGCTTTTCAAGGCTGAAGTGTTCACAGTACTTAAAGTTCATTCAATATGAGTGTGCAAACATATTTTTATTGGCATTAAATACTTTGTGTTACAAGTTAGCTGGGAAGACAATATTGGTAATATAGTCCTATGTGCTAAAGGAAATAAATGTAGAAAACAAAGGTGGTGAGGGGGAAGATGAAACCAGAAGCCCACTGGCCTTCATACATGTGTTGATCTAGTGGAAACTTGCTGCTGGCTTTTGGAAGCAATCACTATGATAACAGAACTTGGGGGCGGGGGCGACACACCTTTAGGGATGAGGAGGTCTCATCCTGGTTCTGGCATCATCATATCACCTGGAACCTCCTGCTCTTCCTGCCCTGATGCTGAACAAAGGAGAGGTGGTTCTGGTTTCAGCTCATGAGAGAATGATATCATTATCTGCTCACTCCTGGCATTAACTTTACAAAAGGGCAAAATGGAGCAGAGAACACTCTTGAGAGTTCTTTAATAGAGATAATCAGTGTCACCTTTAATGAATGTCCTCTGCCTCCCCTCTCCTACCCAAAACAAAGAGCTGTTTGCCTCATACAGAGGAAGCAATTTTTGCACAGGCCCAGAGTACCATCTTGCAACTCATCTCCCTTTCCTAGCCATTTTTTAGCCAGATTTCCAGTGCCATCTAGGATCTTCTAACCACCAGATCCTCCCCATCATGGGCATGGTCCCAAGTCATCCATAGTGGATGCATTATTCCACTAGTGTGATGTGCCACTTTGACCTTTATCTCCATGTCACCTGAGACACACATGTGCTGGCATGGGAATTAGATTCACAGGATGGCAGTGTGTACAAAATAATGAAGCTTGGTGGTCAGAGGCTCCCTTTGCAAGGATCCAGAGACATCTGATGTGGGCACGCTTCTTCAGCTGTCCTGGATGGGTCAGTGAGGGACTCCCTGTCCCGCTTCACAGAGCCCTCTCTTTTGAAGATTAAATCTATCCCTTTTGTTGCACTCATCCTCTGCCTTTCTGTATACATTGGGCTGAAATCAGCCAAGAGGATTTTAAATTTTTAGGGAAGGAAGGCAGTACAATTAACAGCATATTGAAGTTTAGCCGAATGAGGGACCTCAGTCTTGTAACTATGCTAAAGGCAAATTAAGCTCTCATCTGTTAGAAGTTGTTTACCATAAGGGCTTTCTAGAATACCTTCTACCTGTAAAGAAAGAGTTCATGGGAGATTGTGACAAAAATGTTAGTTTATTTTGCATAAAAATGCTGATTTTCTTTGATATCAATCTGTCTCTCTGCTTAAACATTTTGAAGCCTCTGAAACAGCCAAGGTATTTCTCAGCTTGTAGTCACAAAAATACAGGAAGAACCAAGAAAACAAAGTCCTTTTCTATGGCTGATAAATTCCCAAGAAATTCAATCTACCAGACTTATCTTTGCTTCCCATTCCTCAGTTTTTAGGGTTTCAGTGGTTGTGAGTATGCTCCATTAAATAATATTTCACTGAGCCTGGAGAAATAGAGTTGTTCATCAAGGTATGTGGAGGCATGCAATACAGATGGCTGGATGGTAAAGCATTTATGGCATTAGGACTATGAAAAAGCTCAGTTTGCTGCATGCCATCCTGGGTGGTGTTGCAGTCTCATTTAACATTCACCTTAGTTTGAACAGGGAGATGAATACTGTTTCAGCGATCCTAAAGATTAAATTACATATGTTACCTATAATTTGGTACTCAGAGCATATGCTAATTGTGAGGCCTCTGCTCCTGACCACACTTGCATTGTCTGACAAAATAGTTTTATGACCAGTACTGTCAAATATGCAAACAGTGGATAGCTCTGGCATGGCTACCCAGGCATGGTACTGCACGGTACCTGGGACTGACCTTTTACATAGTGATGCCTTGCTTGATCTCTCACCTACCCAGTTTGCCCTCCTTCTGTTGAATGCCTCTTTGCCTATCTCCCACTTACCACAGGATAAAAGAAAATATTAAAAACTCCAACTGAGCCTGCCTATAGTATCTGCCAGGTAGGCCTACCCTTGGGATATGAGTGGTTGTTCTCACCTGCGAAAGGTGATTTATACCAAGGACATGAATGGAGAAACAATGCGCAGATTGAAGAAAATACTTAAATAGTGGTTTTGGTTGAAAAGCCAGGATGTACAAATGACACCATGTGTCTAGGAGAGCCTCTCCTTGTGTGCCAACCCTCATATTTGGGGACTAAAGTAACAGAACAAGGTTTTGCTCTCTTGTACATCTAAAACCAGCAGAGCAGAGGTAGAGTCTTTGCCTTCTTGCAACAGAGAGTCGCTTTACTGAAATCTGTGAATCTTCTAAGCAGTTTGTCCATTGGAGCAGCAAGGCTGTGTAACAATGGAGTAATAGCAACAGGAAAAATTAACCAGTGTCAGAAAGGCACTTGGGCCTTTCAGCAGTGGGGCGGGACTCAATGGCTCAGGAAGACTCCTCAAGTCACAGAACCCTACCCCGGCATTGCAGAAGTGCCTCTGACAAAGTAATCCAGATCCAGCTACACCACAAAATCTGAGTCCCCCAGCAGGCAGGTCCCAGTTCTCCTGTCCCAGGAGTTTTCAGGAGTTATCTGGAAAGCCTTCTCCTGTCAAATAGTCAGAATTCTTCTCCATCTGCAGTCATTCAGGAACAACACTTTCAATTAATTCTTTGCCTTAAACCAACTCAGCTTTCCAACAATAGATGAAGGGAAGGCAGGGACCACTACAGAATTAGAAAACTTTGGCTCCTTTGTTAAATTCCTTGATCAGTTTATGGCTCTCAAAAAGGCAGTGGGTTTATTGCAGTTAGCCATTTTTGCCACGCTTTGAAGTCAGTGACAAAATTCCCAGTCATTTTTTTGGGACTAGGTTTGGGCTAGATGTTATGCTGTTGTTCTATTTCACTTTCAGAAGTGCAAAAAAACCAATTACCAAACAAGAAGGTGAAGCTGACATCTGGCTTTATGGGGATTATTCCTTTGGAAGAATTGGGGTAAGAGAGACAAATGGTTCATGCCACTTACCATCTTCTCCCAGCAGAAGTAGAAACCTCAGCCGAAGTGGTAGATGTGATGCACTGAATAAAACTAGGCTCTCAAAGGCTGTGAGGTCTGATTTGCAGCATGGCAGAGGTTCATGCAGCCCTAGAACCATGGAGTTGCATGAGGTTCAGAATGGTGTTTGCACCCCTGCCACACATCGCTGGCTGAGCCATCCTGGCTGCTCTCTGGCAGGATCACCATGCTGGAACAGCACCAGAAATCATCATCAGGGAGCAGGATGAGATCTGTTTTATTTCTTATGCATTTTGTACCTTTCCTATGAAAACTACTGCATTGTCAGGACCAGATATGTTCACAATCTGTATGATTCTGCCATTTTACTCCAATAGGGTGCAGATGGTTGGTAAAAATCCTTTTAGACTGAGTAGGATCTTAGACTTTAGGTCCATATTTTTAACTCTGTGTTTAAAACAACGCAGATTTTTTTCTTCTTCCTAAAATACTATCCACTTTAGCTGAAGCTACATTTACACATCGAGTCACTACACAGTGTTAGTGAGACAACTGGAATCTACGCCATAGTCATTTGGAATCAGAATTTTTACAGTGTCTCTGACTTCATTACAAAACGCTTAGTTAAAAGTAGCCTGGATGACGGTGTAAGACCTATAAAAGCTCTGATTTATCAAAGCACTCACATCTCTGTTTAACTGAGGTTCTGATTAGTCCAGTTTAAGACCATAGGTTTTTCACTAACTTCAAAAAAAGTACCATGCTGAAGTTCTTCCTTGTAGCAGGGCCAAAAGTGTTAATGATAAAATTAGAATGTAGTAGGTTTAAAATTTGTGAAAAATTTAAAGACTTTTAACTTCTGCCATTTTTAGAATTCATATTCCATAAATTATTATAGAGCAATTCAATTAATAATGGATCTGCTTTTCATTATGACGAGTAATTAAGGATAAATATCTCCTATATCAAAGCTTATTTTTTAAAAAGGATAAATTAGCTATAGCACACTTAACTACTTCCAGAACATGAAATGAACACATATTGTTCCATTAGTTAATTTTGGATCACTAAATTAAAGACAGTTCAAAAGGAGTATAATCTCATAAGGATCTCTCTTTGTTCAGTCTGTTATGAGTTATTTCACGAGGTACAACAAATACCGTTTCCTGTGGAGCTAAATACTATTAAGGTTATAAAATTGTTTTGGTTTAGTATGTGTTATGCATCATGTGAGTTATATACCACAAGGGTAAGAATATTTTTTTCTGGTATTTGTAGGTGCAGTTCTGTACTCCTGCATGTCTTGTAGGCTATTGGGATGCTTGGTTAAGACTATCAAAAGCTCCACTATAAAACAATAAAAGCAATGAACAATAAAATAACATCTGGAATGTAACCTTTTGTCCATAAAAGCATTATGGATGTGTGTGTACTAGTAAATTAATCCAGGCCAGGGCATAGGCTCCTGTTGAATTAGCAAACTGACCTCCTGGCATGGTTTTGGCCAGCTAGCACCCTTCAAGCAATGCCTGGACATATTTGGGGTTAGGAGTGGCTATCTTTCATTCCCAAAGGCAGCTGTGATCTGGCCATCCTGTCCATGCAGATAAAAGAGAGTTTAGCCATCTTGGCTAAAAATGTACATTTAAATTCTACTTACCACTTAATGTAGTACTTGTTTACTCAGGCACTTAGGGCTTTTAATGGCATGTAGCATAACCTAAATTTAATTTACAGCACCAAAGTACAGTAGGTAACTATGCAAATAACTTCAGTGTCTGGAAAGCAAACTTCTAGGAATTTTAAATACCTTATACTTTTAAAGCATCCTTAGTTCAGATTGGGGCTTTTGTGGTCACACCTAATTTCAAAAAGTGTCAGCCTCTTGAAGAAAGAGGTACTTGAAGAAAGTTAGAAAAAGTTGCATATTTAAAGGAAAAATTATAAGGCAGGTCGTTGCTGGGAGCGGTAGTGGGACACTCCCATGGAAACCCAGATAGATACTTGGACGGTTGTGTGACACAGAGAAGGAAAGACTCCAGGCTGTCACATCACCACTTCAAGGTCTGATTCTGTCTCTCTGACTGATGCTGATGGTATTTGTGCTCTCTATCACTATGAAAATCAGTGGAATTTTCCTCAAAGCTTCTAAATGTGAGTCAGAGATAATTGTATTGAACTGGGACCACAGGACATGGCTGAAACCATGGTCAGGATGAGAGGAATCACACTGGGAAGGTAGTTCTGTATGGATATTGTTTTCCTTGTGGGAGGAAAGCATGCTGACTTTCCTTGTGGTGCCTGGGTATCTGCAGTGAGAGGCTGACCATGAATGGATGGATGGCGAGATTGCATTGGGTGATTATATGCAGAGAATGATCTTAATTTCCTACCTTGTGTGCAACTTGCATTATCTGTTTTGTACCAAAACAAAAGCAAGGGTTATGCCATGTAATTCAGCTACAGCATGTCAGTTTTTTACAAGCAATTCCCCGTCATCAAGTCTTCTCTTATGCTTCCAGCCTGAACCAGGGGACTGACTATGTTCATTTAAAGGCAAGCATCCTAGCATTCCCTGATCTGCTTATCCTATGCTACTCTGACCTTTGCCAGCACTGGAGCTTCCAGGTTCTGACAAATGGCTGGAGGCAAAGCTTTTTCAAAGGTGGGATCTCTTCCCAGTTAGTGTTTGCTGCCCTTAGATAGTCACCTCGTGCTTGCTAAGCTGACAGGGCTGCCCATTCCCTTAGGATTTTGATTGTAGATGTCAGAAGCTGCATCACTTCACTGAAACCTGCCTGCCATTGAGATCTGCCATGGCAGAATTACAGCAAGATGCATTTTGATACTTGAAGCCATTCAAACCATTTTAAAAATATATAGTAAGAAAGCAAGTCTGACAGATTTTCTCATTCTGGGTACCTCCAGCAAGACACTAGGGAGTAAGTGGCTAATGGATTCATCATCCATTGTGATGTTGGGTGGCCTTGCTCATCTTGGTTGAGGAGCTGAAGTCTTGAGAAGGGGTTTCATTCCTTGACTAGGTTTATTCCACTAAATAAATTTGGATTCCAATATCTCTGTCCCATATAAAGCACATTTTTGATTGTGCCTTTCAGTTAAACAACTCATGGTGGAGAAGTCAATTTTAATTCATTAGGATTCAGTAGGATTTCTCCTAATCCCTGCATTTTGGAAAATTGAGATATGAAGATAGTTCCTAGGTAATTGTTTAAGAATTGCAGCTTTGTGCTAAGGATTAATAACTTGTAACTCTTAAGAGCTAAATTGTATCAGGTGCACATTATCTGCTAGTAAATTAATCTTGCCTCTTTTTTTCCTTGCAGTTCCAAAGGATATAATCTTAAATTGTCCTGGCTTGAGCAGTAAAGGATAAATTTGTTCACTGGCTGACTTGTCATCTCACCGTTGTGATGGAAAAATGCTTGCTTAATATAAACTCTTTTTATTCTACTAAAACCTTTGAATACAAGATCTGTTGTGATTTTTAAAACACAAATCCAGTAATGTCAGAACCCTACCCTTCATCTGGATTTGTAGGAAATATGGAAAATGGGACTTTTCTGGAGCTGTATCCCACATCTCTTTCAACCTCAGTGGATTCATCACCTGGCCGTTTATCCAATGTTTATGTCTATGTTTCTATATTCCTTAGCCTCTTAGCTTTTCTCCTTTTGTTATTGATCATTGCACTTCAGAGGCTGAAAAACATAATTTCTTCCAGTTCCTCCTACCCAGAATACAATAGTGATGCTGGAAGTTCGTTCACTAATTTAGAGGTTTGCAGTATTTCTTCCCAGCGCTCTGCTCTCTCAAACCTTTCTTCATGAAACTAAATGAAAAGTAATACATGGGGAATGGAAGAGCTCTGTCTAGTTTCTTGGGGAGGTAATGCATGCAACATTCGCCTTAGAAGACTATTATGAAGAGGAGGTTTTTTAAGTTTCCTTACTTTTTTTTCCCTTTCCTTTTCTAGTCTTCATTTCCTCTTTAACTAATTTTCATTTTGGACAATGGATAATGATACTTGATCATCATTTCTTGCCTGTAATAGTGATGCTGTCTCTTTCTCACACATATATGGTATTCATTAAGAGCATTCCTGCCAAATTGTAATACAGTTTTAACTGGATGTATAATTTTTCTGCCCTAGTTGTGACCCCTTCCTTGGTTTTGTGTCAGTAGTATGCTGACTAATTTTCTTTCTCATTTTTTAATTATATAAGGACTTCTAAGTAAAATCCCTATTGCAAAAGTATAAAAAGAAATCTGCTTAAATTATAAATATTATGAAAATTTGAAGCTGTTGGTATTGTTTCTTTTTTTTTCATTTTCTTGTCTTTTTTGGTATTTATTGATGTTTATAAAACACAACTAAAATCCATTTCTTGAAAAATATTGCCTTTGTTTATTTGTACTCCTAACTCATTCTGTATAAAGTCTGTATTTCAGTTTTTGAGTCTCTGATTAACTTAGTAAAGCAACTTTAATAACAATACTCACTATCAAATGTGTGGAGGTATTTTTAGACCCTGTTGCAGCTCATTTGCTTAATGACTTGTTCCTCCAGGGGGCAGCTTTTGCTGCTGAATCATAAATGCCACTCAACTCCTTTGCATTCTTCACTAATACTGTAGCTTATTCTTACTGAATACCAGGACAAACCAGTGATTTCTTTTAAAAGACCTGCATTCAACAAATATAGTTTGCAAGGGAATGGCTCCTAAACTGTCCTTTAGGCACAAGATATTTGTACTCATGTGAGCATGGCTAGCAGGGACAGAAATTACTTGTACTGGTGAAGACTCTCTGGGCCAGGTTTTGTCCTGTGATTTCACAAATGCTCACTGGAGTGGAGCGGGGACTTGAGGATCTGCGTTATGGCCAGGCAGACCTGTGCCCTGACCCTCAGAGCTGTACCTGCAGAGGGTAGGAAAGGATGGGCAGGAAAATGGCAGTGGCCCTGTCCCTTTTCTCCATCAGCATAAGGAAAGGCCAGAGATAAGAGGGAGAGAAATGGTTGATGTTTCATCAGTCTCATTCCTTTTTGCCATGTCATAGTTTGGGTTATGGTTCCCCCAGCCCAAAATGTAACACATCACTCAATTTCTGCAGTAAAATAACTAGAAGCTTTGTGAACAGGATTCTTTGGTCAGCTGGGCTTTAAATCAAGCCAAACATTCAAAGAAGTGATTCAGAATGCCAAGTGTGACCTGCTAGGACTGCAGCGTGATGCCTTGTTTTCCTTACTGCACTGTGTGAGCACAGCCCCATCCTGCCACTCAAGCCCATGCAACTTTTGCTCTCATGGCAGGATCCAAGCTGCTGCAGAGACCCAAGGAAGGGTATGGCGATGTCACTGCTGCTTCTGTTGCTGACGTAACAGCAGGCACAGCTCTGGGAGATGGATTGGTCTTGACAGGAACACAGGGCAGCTGCCCTCTCCTTGCATGGCAAGCCTACTACCCGGCAGGCTTAGGGGTTAGGGAGCTGCAGAAGACCTCCCAGATTTATGCCTCCTGCAAACCTGTCATTGTGTTCGTCAACAAGACAGACTCTGTCATTAACTACACAGGCTTTAAAAGAGAAATTTGGAAAGCCTAGTGTAAATATAATCATTAGAAATGCAGCTTCTCAGCCAAACAACACAGATGATTCTGGAGTCGGTGTTTTCAATTTTTAAAAGTGAGTATAGAGTATGGTAAGTGATAATGACTTACTGTGGTGATTAGCTCCTTACAAAGGTCAAAGAACTTGCTGACTAATAAAGAATTTAAGCCTTCAGGTTCCCTGAGCCAAACTGGTTTGATGATTATATTTATTGCTTGGAATATTTTATTCATCTAGACAAAAATTTCTTGTATGTCACTTTTCACTGTAATTGCTGTGAGAAAAGAGGTAACTATTTAAGAGGGATGAGGAAATGTTATTTCCTTTCTGAAAGCTCTTCCAAATCCCAAACCTGTAACAGAATGTATTTGTGTGTTGACTGGCAGATAAAAATAAATGAACTGTAAATCAAGACAGGGCAACTGTTCAACTATCTTCTTTTACTGGCAAAGTTGTAAATTTGTTGCTTCCTCTGCTGCAAATGCAGGAATTTAATCAAAACCAGAGATAAGACCAGAGGTTGAGATGGGTATTTGTTCCCAGCAATATGTTTATACTTGCAGATATGGAGACATTTAATATTAAAATACAGACTGTTAAAAGCCCATTGGGTTTGTTCAATTGGCTGTTGTCAAACTTCACAAGAGCAAAAAGTATTTTTCAGACTGCAAAAAGTAGCAACAATAACTGAAACCACACATTTGATTTTGCTTTGTAGTTTACTAGATGCTATTAATTTTTTCCCACTCTGCAGTGACATATGGGATTGTATAATCATCATGATTTCAGCTGAGTTGCACCTGTTCTCTTCGGGACAGATCTGAGTAGAAACAAGTAGGATCCAACAAAATAGCATCAGGAGAAAAGCACCATGGCATTTTTGAGGATTGCTAAGTACCGGTTCTTCAAGGAGAAAAAAAAAGGAAAGAAAAAACAAACCAATCTTACAACCTGAGCCTCGGTTAACTTGACAACACTGGAACAGGATCCTAGAGAGGTGGTTGATACCCCAAGCCTGTCAGTGTTTAAGAGGCACTTGGACAATGCCCTTAACATGCTCTAACTTTTGGTAAACCCTGGAGTGGTCAGGCAGTTGGACTAGATGGTCACTGTAGGTCTCTTCCAATGGAAAATATTCTATTCTATTCTATTAACTAGAGTTGCAGGAATTTTTTTCCTGTGTCCGTTCCTGGGTTCCCCAGTAGAGTAGATATGTGGAGATACTGCAGTGAGTCCAGTGCTTGGCTACTAAGATGATTAAGGGATGGAGCATCTCTCATGTGAGGAGCGGCTGAGAGACCTGGGACTATTTAGTCTAGAGAAGGCTCAGAAGGATCTCATCAATATGTATAAATACCTCATGAGAGAGAGGAAGAAGAAGGAGCCAAGGTCTTCCTGGTGATGCCCAATGACAGGACAAGAGTCAACGGGCCCAAACTGAAACACAGGAAATTCCACCTGATCACAAGAAAATATTTTACTGTGAGGGTAGTCAAACACTGGCACAGGCTGCCCAGAGGGGCTGTGGCATCTGCATGTGTTGGCCTCCCTGCAGCTGACCCTGCTTTGGGCAAGAGGGCTGGACCAGATAATCCTCAGAGGTCCCCTATCCATGCTGTGATCCTGTGGATCACATCAGTACAAAAACTCAGCGGCTTCTGGCTTGCTGCTTCCTCCTGATGTGTTTTCTCATCCCTGGATCTTAGTAAGCACTATCTTTACTAGGAGGTGATTTATTCAATAATTTGTTACTAAAGAGCTGCTCTGCTCCCCCTTCTGCCTGCAGCCACACATTTTTCCAGGTTTTCCACTGGTTTTTTGTGGTGTGGGTTTTTTTTATAATTTTGACATTTAACAGTCAGCTCTTGCCCTGAGCCATTTGAGTTTTTACCAATCCCTCTGACTCCCAACAGTGCCATTAGCTTTGGTAATATATGACTCCAAGACTGCATGGCATCAGGTAGTTGCAAAGTATACTTGGAAATCTATAGGAAGAAAAATATGAATAAAGCATGGATGAGGAAAGTTCAACAAATATGGTCCATTTAAGCATATTTAATCAAAGAGTACATGATGAAGGCTGTAGTAGGCTTTATATGTGTGCAAGTTTCGAGCTGGCTTCCCGCCAAGTCTCCAAAACTTGACAACAGGGTCTGCCTCCCAGAGAGGGAAGAAAAAAAAACCCAAGCAGCCAAAGCTATAGCAAAAATATATATATTACATATAAAACAGATATATACAGTGAGAGTATTATATATCTATAACCCCAGAAACCCCAAATAGCTTCCCAAAGGGAAGAGGGGAAGGGAGAAGGGAAAAAGAACAAAATAGGATGAAAAGGGACAAAAACAAAACAGGTCTACACGATCTAAAAACCCGATAACCAGCGAACTAAAGAACTGGCAAAATCTCACCACTTCCCTTGAGAGAAGCAGGACGGCTGGATGCGGCCCAGCACTCTCCCCTCACACGTGGCAGACAACAGCAGTCACTGTAGGCCTCAGCTCCAGATAAGCCAGACCAAGACACGGACCCACTGTTCTCGAACCTCGCCGGAAAGGAAGAGAAAGAGGTCCCTCCCATGGGCTTTATTTATACCTCAAGTTACGTAAAGGAATAGCATGGAATACTTCCGTGGTCACCTTCCTAGTTCCTTCCTGGTTACAAGCTGGTCTCCAGGAAGGCCTAGACTGAAACTATCACAATATGTAAGACTCTCTTGCACTGTTGGCCACCTTGGCCCTACTTGTCAAACTATCCCATCATATTCGTCTGTCCTCAACGTAACCAAATTATTCCCATCCTGAAATGTCATGCTCTTAGTGCCACTTAGCAACTCTTCATCTGTTGAGAGTTTATTCTACTGGAATTATTTTCACCATTCAGCCCTTCTCTGTCTGCCAGCTCACCTGAAAGGTTTCTCTCTGTAAGCTGAAAGTCTTGTCTGCCCTTTGTAGGCTCCCAGAGAAAGCGGCCCCACTCTGTGGCTACAGCGGAGGATTACATGCCCCAAATGCAGGGTGCAAAAGTAGCCTGAAAACACCCTTTTTTTTCTTCAAGAAAAGTGGGCTTGCTCTTGCCTATGTCTTTGGCATAACCTAGAGCAGCCCTCAAGTTGCTATACACTAAGTGATCTATGTGATGCCAGTCAGTTTGACTTGCCAATGGGACCCACCTGCAGCCACAGCCCCATGCTCACACCACAGCTCCACAAAGCTCCTAGATCACTCACCTGTAAACGAGGTGGCTAAAACCAGCCAAGATGCTGCCCCAGTATGGGGCTTAGCCAGGGGCACTTTCCTGATGACAGCTGTTGCCATAGCTCCTCCCAGCACTGTGCTTTGGAGGTAAAAGCAACATCCTGTGTATTCACTTCCAAGGCCAGGTAGGTGCATTACTGTAATCATGGTAATCACCATGCAGGTGACAATGAGGCAGGACCAGGATGATGAGCTATTTTTCACTTCTGTTTTCTTTGTTTTATATCAGTGGGAGCTGATTACCCACTGTAAGTCTGAAAATCACAGCAGGTGGCTATCAACGTGTATAGGATCTCCAGTTGCCTTCAGGAAATTGGACTGGGCTTCTTTGCATGGTTTCAGTTCACCTTCTGTTCCTTATGGAAAGCACCAACACAATGGCTGCATTTGTTTCAGTGCCAAAAGATGCAGCTTTAATACAATAGACATCTGTGAGCAGCTTCAGTTAAAAGTTCAGAAGGAAAAAAGTATACTTCCTTAAAGTATAATCTAATGTATAACTTTTTGCAAAAAAAACTTGGAAAGTTTTCTTTGGAAAATTACATTTTTGCCAAAATATCTATTTTTAAAGAATAATGGAAAAACTACTTGGTTGAGTTGTTAAAAATGGAACATTTTATTCCAGCTGTGCTAACATAAATATTTTTGCCCACAGATTTTTCACTGTCTAAGGTGACATAAAATTACTCTATCCAATTATTTCTCTGCCTTATCCTCAATAAATGAGTAGGTGTCTGTCAGAGCGTTTTTGCCACACATATTTACTTATGAAGTGGCACTCCTAATACTGCATGCTGATTTGGTCACAGAGACCAGGTCCTAAAACACAGTTACATCTCTTTTTTGTTTGTTTGTTTGTCATAAAATATTATTAGTTAAATATAAGATGGAGACTAAGCTGTTAGTTAACGAATTCTGCCCTCACTGCCCTTTCAGCAGAGGGATCAGTTTGTCATTTGTCTTAGAATATTAGTTACAGCCCATAAATCATTTGCATGGCTTTATCTTGAGCCTGGGCTCAGCAGTTGCTGACAAGTAAGAAATTAGTGCAAAGGACATATTTATGTTGGAGATTCCCCATGTGATTTGTTCAGGGCAAATCCTGCTCCAGCTCCCTGAATGCTGTTCCAGCACTAGGAGCTGTGTGCCAGGGGCTTTCTGCCAAGGTACCCCTCCTTTTTCCGAACAGCTGTATCGGAATGCAGAAGATGAAACTTATTAAACTAGGACAAGGTGCAAACACCTGCCAGGAAAAAGGAATGATGATACAAAGGCACACAGCAAGAATAGAAGCATGGCAGGGAGCAAAAGGAGATGCCACCTGAAAAGTATGCAAATGAATGTGTTTGAGGTAGCAGTAAAGTGAAAAAGGACCACTGGTGGCTAGAGAAACAGGTAGCAGCAGTGACAGAAAAGCATCTTCTGATGAGAGGGGGTGATGAATTAGACACAAATAGGCAATATTGCAGCAAAAAGGTAAGGGAGGCTACCATTCCTCATGAGGCACGTTGTCCCTTTTTCTCCTGCCACGGGACCATTTGGGGACATGTAATGGGCCAGGGGAAAGAAAGATTAGTATCTGGGCAAGTAACACACGGGAAAGCCCCCACCCAACCTGTCACACACTCCTTTCCTGCTGCTGCTCTGGCTGTTGCTGCTCTGCTCCTAAATCCTTTGCCTCTGGCAAAGCATTTTCTGCTCAGGCCATATGAGAGCCCTACTTCTTCCTTTGCTGTAGTGCTTCTTTTGCTGTCTCTTTGCATCTGAAGCCTCCAAAGGATTGCTCAATAAACTGCACTTCATCTGGGATATCACAGAAAGGCTCTCCCTGGTTGTCATGATGTATCTCTGCATAGCCTGGGCTGCTGGGCAGGAGCCAGAGCTCAAGACACCCTGCTAACACCACCCTGGGTCTGCAGCCCCTCTTCACCCGAAGTCACAGAAAAGGCAGGGGGCAGCTGTGACCAATGGCTGTGACCAACGGCACAGGGAACCTGGAATACGTGCATAGCAACAAGCAGCAACCTTTACAGGGAAGTTTGGCTTCACCAAACACAGACAGCACTAACAGTGTGACCCAACAGGTCTCCTCATCTAGAGACACCAAGTTGGTGTTTCCTGTCCTACCACCTGTCAATGCCCCAGCTCTTATGCTATGTAGCACACTTCAGCACACATGGAACTTACTCCTCAAAAACTGTTCTTTACATGTCCAGAGAGGGCTTTTCGATGAGAAATACCTCTATCCTCACAGTAATTTTGCATGTTATTGTAACATTGTTGGAAAACCCAAAGGCCTATGCCTAATCTCTATAGTAAGAAGTCTTAAGAATGAGTAACAGATATTTTCAGTAGTTCCTTTAAAACGGGAGCTGCTTCATGGTTTTCAGTTTCCATTCCTGCTTTAAGAAGTTAATTTTATTCAGAAATTAACTCCTGACTGAACATGTCATTGTATCTCTGCAGGAATAATTGTTCTTAATTGAATTTTCTATATTTGAGAAGCTTGCAAATACACTATTTTAAATTACAGCCCTATGTTATATTCCTGAAGAAATGTCCAACTTTGCCATTTCAGCCATTAATACGAAAACAAGTGCTTGTGGGGAAAAAGGGTAATCCCAATATCTGATCCCAACAGTGGGTTAAAGGCTGGGTTAGATTTGCCAGACAATTTTGTTAGACCCAGGTGGTTCAGATTTCATGG